CTCTGGCTGCACTTCTTCCAAAACAGATCTATTGGTTCTTTTGGCAGCCCATGGCACTTTTAGTATTCTCCTCCAACACCACAATTCAAAGGCATCAATTCTTCTATGATCTACCTTCGGTATGGGTTGCATTTCAATGTCAGGAAAACAAAAATCCTCACCACTGGACCAATAAACAACATTCTTATCAACGGAAAAAAGATTGAAGTTGTCAAGGACTTCATTCTTCTTGGATCAACTATCAACACTCATGGAAGCAGTAGTCAAGAGATCAGACGACGTATTGCATTGGGCAAATCTGCTGCACAGGAACTTTTTAAAGTGTTGAAGAGCAGAGATGTCAGCTTGAGGACTGGGGTGCGCCTGACCCAAGCCTTGGTATTTTCAATAACCTCATATGGATGCGAAAGCTGGACAGTGAATAAGGAAGACCATAGAAGAATTGATGCCTTTGAGTTGTGGTGTTGGAGGAGAATACTGAAAGTGCCATGGGCTGCCAAAAGAACCAATAGATCTGTTTTGGAAGAAGTGCAGCCAGAGTGGTCCTTGGAGGCCAGGATGGCTAAGCTTCGTCTCTCATACTTTGGACATATTGTCAGGAGGGAACAGTCGCTGGAGAAGGATGTTATGCTGGGTAAGATGGAGGGTCAGAGAAAAAGAGGAAGACCCCCAACGAGATGGATCAGTCATGTGTCATCATTGATGGCGTCAAGTGTGGCAGCGGTAGTGAGGTTGGCCCAGGATCGGACATTGTTTTGTTCTGCTGTGCATGGGGTCGCTATGAGTCGGTTCCGACTCGATGGCACCTGACAACAAAACAACAACCCAATTGGTAAGGAGCTCTGGTAGCACAGTGGTTATGAATCGGGCTGCAAACCGTAAGGTCACCAGTTCGAAACTACCAGCCGCTCCGTGGGAGAAAGATGAGGCTTTCTGCTCCCGTAAGGGTTTACAGTCTCAGAAACCCTGTACAGGGTCGTTATGGGTTGGAACCGACTCAACTGCATGTAATAACAACAACAACAACTCAATTGGTGGGAATGCCCACTTGGTGGGAATTAAAATGACATTCGGTAGAAAAGACATATCAACTAAATTCAAGGCACCCTCGGTACATGGAGTCCTGGTGTGGTGCTGTGGATTAATGTGCTGGACTTGAAAGTCAGTTTGAACCACAAGGTTGGCAGTTCAAGCTTACCAGCTGCTCATCAGAAACCCTATACAGGATTATATGTGGGTCAGAACCTACTCAACAGCACTTAACAACAACAACAACAACGATACATGGGAGTCCTGGTGTGGTGCTACAGGATAATGCGCTGGACAGTGAGGTCAGTTTGAGCCGCAGGTAGGCAGTTCAAACCCACCAGCTCCTTGGAAACGCTGTACAGGGTAGTTATGAGTCAAACAGACTTGATGGCACTTACAACAACAACATAGGTACATTAACAGTAAAAAAAATTGATACCTACAGAATGAACAAACTAATTACAAGTTATAAACAACAACTGCACACTCTTCATCTAAAGCTACCTTTGCTAACTGAATCTGAATTCACATGTTCTGTAAGTATTTCCTTTTTTTTTCTTTCACAATTAAGACACCCGTCAGTTTTTAAAGTAGTTTGGTGTGGTCTATATCCAATAATGACTCACAGGCCTGGTGGTTAAGCTCTGGGCTGCTGATAGGTTGGCAGTTCATACCCACCCAGCTGCTCCACTGGAGAAAGACTTGATAATCTTATTTCCTAAAGATTACCCATTGGGGTACAGTCAATTCATATTCAAAGTGACTCTGTAGGACAGAGTAGAACTGCCTCATTATTATCATTATTTTTTTAAAAATGTTTTATTGTGAATTTTGTGATAGTTTTACATGGGAGAACATTAGTTTTACATTCATCCTATCTTATATCCTTTCATTGCCATGGTTACAATCCCCTCCATGCATCATCAACCAACTAAAGGGTATACTCTACAAGCCTGCCCCCGTTGTCAGCACACAGCCCCTCTCCCTCTCTGGGTCTAAAGTCCCTACTGCTCCATCTCTCCATGTCATCACCTCTGCCTTCATCTCAGGCATCACTGCTTCTCTGGTTAGGGTCCCGCTCTCTGCTCTTCTCCCTTAATGGTCCCAGGGACCTCCGCTCCTAGACTGAAAAGTTAATCACTCCCCTCCTTGCTACAAAATGTCTACCTTTATTTACATTTCCAACCCTCATAATCAGTCCTGATAACAATTATTCACTATTGTATCACAAGAGACTTATCTGTATTTCATTTCATCAGCCCCGCTTAGACAGACTGGATACTACTCAGTGAAGATTCTACCTTCCTACATGCCCTGTGGATCTATATTTCTCATTATTATTTTTGATCATCCCCCCAAATGCAGTTTATGCTGGTATCGCAGAGGCATGAGCAGTAGGCTCTGTCGGTTGGCCTATTGTCTGCAGCCGTGTTCCTGAAGATTCAGGACTGAGCCTCTGGCTTCTTGAAAACACTGTGCTTGGTCATCAAAGCATGCATCAGATCTTGACTTGATAGTCTGTTGGAAGTATTATCTTGGGCTTCAGCCCCTCAGGGGTTTGAAGTGTCAGCAAGTCTACTTCCTTCCTCTCTGATGAGTAATGACAAAGCGCCACACCTCACAGGTGAAGTTTAGAGCTCTTAGTACATGACTTGAATCAGTGAAGGGGGTGTCTCCACCACCACTACCGGCTATTCCTCTCTCCCAATCTACACTTTCAACGGCCTTTATGGAATACACGCTACTCCCCTAACAACTCTCCAGGAAAACAGTTGAATCACGAATCTTGAGTAAGACAAAATTATCATCTTCTCCAACAGATGGCTTGAGTGGGTTCAGTGGAGACTGATGAAGTCAAGGATTCCCCTTGGATTTGAGGCTTAGAGTCTGGAACAAAGTGCTCAACCCAATTTGGCAACATATTGGGCTACTAGGGACCACGCAGTGTTTCCTTCTGTTGTGCACAGGGTCGCTATGAGCTGATACCAACTAGATGGTACCTAAGAACAACAACATGGTGCCAGGTGGACCATGAGCATCTTGCTCTAAGAAGGCCTCCCATTGAGCAAAATGTTGCTGCAGATCACGTGCATCTCCGCAAGCTGGTGCCTGAGCTCCAGGTGTTGTCGTTAAGCACTGGTGGAGATGGTTCTGACTCAGAGTGACCATGTACATGGTTCCCCAGGAGTGGCTTGTAAATTTAAATCGCCGACCTTGCGGTTCAAACCGACATCATGGTGGAGTGCTTATTCCACAGCACCACACCAGATCTGCTTTTTTTCCTTTGGCATCACTTTTTTGCAATAAGATCAGAAATTGATCAAATCCACATCTCCCTATCAGGAGGTTTCAAGCCTTTATCCATTCTATTTGGAGTCCTGATGTGGTGTTGTGGGATAAAGCACTGGACCACAAGGTGGGTTTGAACCACAAATTCGGCGGTTCAAGTTCATCAGCTGCTCCTTGGTAACCCTATACAGGGTCGCTATGAGTCGATATCATGTTTGGTAAGGTGGAGGGTCAGATAAAAAGAGGAAGACCCCCAGGGAGACGGATTGGCAAAGTAGCAGCAACAATGGGCTCAAGCGTGGCACCAATTGTGAGGTTGGGCAGTGTTTCGTTCTGTTGTACATAGGGTTGCTATGAGTAGGTACCGACTCGATGGCACCTAACAACAACAACAACAACGAGTTGATAGCACTTAAAAACAACAAGCTTTGTATTGCTGGTAAGCTTTAGGATTAGCCATCACCCAGGCAAACCTGGAGAACCACTCCTACAAGTGTGTGGAGGCCGAGATCTACCTATGCTAAAAGTTAACTGATGCACCCAGGCAGATGTGATTCACAGTGAAGGTGCCTCTCAGTTAGAGGAGTTTCCATCAGAAGTAGTTCAATTTTTTTGTGCAATTGGGGATGATAGTGTAAATCTGGGCAAGCACACGGCCGGAGTACTGGTGTAATGCTGAAGGATAAGCACTGGACCACAAGGTCTACTTGAACCGTAAGGTTGGCGGTTCAAACCCACCAGCTGTTCTTCGGAAACCCCATTAAAGGGCTCTCTGTCGGACTCCCTGGTGTGGCCCTAAAGGTTAATGCTCCAGACTGCAAAGCCGTTTGAACTGCAAGGTTGGCGGTTCAAGCTCACCAGCAGCTCCTCGGAAACCCTATCCAGGGTCGCTATGGGTCGGAACCGACTCGGTGACACTTCACAACAACAAGAAGTTGGAACCTACTCGATGGCACTAACAACAATCTTTAAGAAACTAGGCTGCTGGGTCCTCACCTCCCATCTGCGCTTAACCACTGCCACCAGATTTTAGCCCCATAAAGATTGCTGTTAAATGCCATCGAGTTGGTTTTAACTCATAGTGATCCAATATAGGGTTTCCGACGAGCAGCTGGTGGGGTTTGAACCGCTAATCTTGTGATCCAGTGCTGATTCTACAGCGTCACGTTACTGCCAAGAAAACCCTATGGGACACTTCCATTCTGCCACGGAGTTGCCATGAGTCCTAATAACAACATGATAGTTAGGTCAAGTATTTGTGATGCTCGAAACTCATTCCTCCTTCACACACCAGCAAGCCGTTAGACTTACCGGCCTGACCGAGAGTAAATATTGGAAAGAGCTGTGTATCCCGGTTGATTGGAGCACAAGAATTTATTGAATGTTCGGGGTGGGAAGTCGACGAAACCCCTGGGATGGAGAACAATACCAGCAGCCCCAGGAAGCCAGGGTCTGGAGCTCAGGGCAGCGCTAGGCCCGCCGGGTTGCCGGGGCGACGTTTCCGGCTGGCGCGTGCAGCCCAGGGGAGCAGGAGAGTGGTGGAACGAGTGGCTAGACTAGCCCGGCGCTGTGAATTCGCCAGCGGGAGCGCGCTCGCGGCCTCACGTTCTCCGCTTTCCCGGCTCCGTCGCTGACGCGTCGTAGACGTTGGGGAGCGGGAAGGCAGCGACTGCGGGACCGGGATGAACAGCGGTGGCGGCTTCGGTTTGGGCTTGGGCTTCGGCCTCACCCCTACAGCGGTGATTCAGGTGACGAATCTGTCGTCGGCGGTAACCAGCGAGCAGATGCGGACGCTTTTTTCCTTCCTAGGAGAAATCGAGGAGCTGCGACTCTACCCTCCGGAGTAAGTGCTCGGGCTCGGCTGGGGGAGGGGCGCAGGCGCCATAGAGACCTCAGGAGCGGTGGCTTGTAGGGGAGCGCGGACGGGGGCGCGCGATGCCCGGCACGTGACCCGCTTGGGTTTACCTTCGTGCCCATGTTTGATAAGGGCACTGTGGCACGGCGCCCCGCGGCCCAGCTTACCTTGTTAGTTGGATTTGGGAGGATCCTTTGCAAAGAATTTAGAGAACTTGCCTTTCTTGTGCCTCCTGGACTTGTCAGGTTCTCTGCCCCGTCTTCGGGTTCTGTGCTCTTGATTTTTGTGTTTTTTGTTTTTTTTTTCTTTTCCCGAACTTAAGATGGCCGCAGGTGGGCCTAGACTAGTCCTCTTGGCGAACGCCTGATCTCGTTTTTTGCCGTGTGAAAATCACAAGGATTGCGCCTGGGGAAACTGTCCAGTTCTTAGTGCATTAGGGTCAGCCCGTTAGCACTGACTTGAAAGCCTGCAATTGGTGAAAAAGTGAATTAGGGTTGTATTTGTTTCCCAGGGAGTGTTCAGAAACTTAGCATCTTTTTGGTTTATCCAACTGATCCCTTCCGTGTTTTTAAAGATGATGTCAGGCAACAGATTACATTTTCCTCCTGTAAGGCCACATTGGGAGTGCGGTAGCTCTGTAGGATTAGCACTGTACTGCGAACCATTAGATTAGTGGTTCGACTCCACCAACCGCTCCGCGGGAGAGAAGATGAGACTTCTCCCTCGAATATTTACAGCTTCGGAAACCCTACACAGGGTTGCTGTGGGTCAGAACTGACTGGACAGCACTTAACAACAAAAGGAAGGTCACATTGCTCCAAGCTTTTCAGTGCTATGTACTTTTAATCCCAGGGTTTGGCTGGCATTCACAGACCGTGGCCACTTAGCAGTTAGTGTAGTTTGATTTCCCTTGTACTGTATTAGTTGCTCTGGTAGTGTAGTGGTTACGAACCTTAAGGTCAGCAGTGCAAAACTACCAGCTGTTCCGTGGGAGAAAGATGAGGCTTTCTGCGCCCGTAAAGATTTACAGCCTCGGAAACCCTTTACAGGGTCGCCGTGAGTCGGAACCAACTCCACGGCACATAACCAACCAGCCAACACTTGTAAGGGATATGATGGTTTTTCCACATTTTTACATTCATGAGCTTTTTTTTTTTTTTTTAAGGCAGAGCTTAGAACCTTAAAATCCTCCAAATTTTGTTGATTTCATTAAAATTATAAGTTATTTTTTCTGTAAATATTAAAAGAAAATTTTATTTGGTTTATTTTCTAGTAAACCTGTTTAGGTTTTAGACCTGTTTTTCTTTGATTGTCTATGTGTAGTGGCGCTAGGATGCCAGTTGAAAGGTCAGTGGTTGGAAACCACCAGCCTACACAAGAGATTTCTGTAAAGATTGTTGTTGGAAACCGTGTGGGGCCCTGTCCGGTTACTATGAGTTGGAATTTACTTGATGGCAGTGGGTTTTTGGTTTTGGTACTGCATAGGTATTGTAAAAAGTTGGGGTTTGGGTTTTAAATTTAAGGTTTTTTTCCTCTAGTTGTTTTGAGATATTTCAAATGCATAGAAAGTTGAAAGAATAATACATTTTACTGTCAGCATATTAAATATTAACTGTCCAGTTCTTAGTGCATTAGTGTCAGGACTAGCGGGCTGACACTAATGCACTAATCTAGGCGCAGCCCCTGCTATTTTCACACTGGCAAAGACACCATCAAGTGTTTTCCATTAAGTGTGTTTCCTTTTCTGGCATTCATCAATAGTTTGCTGTAGTTGCTTCCTTTCTCTCCCCGGCCTTTTTTTTTTTTTTAAAAAAAAACTTTGTTGAGTGAAGGTTTACAGAGCAGATCATCAGTTTTATATTCAACAAATTATATATGTATTTTCATTACAGTGACAGCAATCCACTCCATGTAACAACCCTGGTAGTGTAACTGCAAGATCAGCTTATATGCAGCCGCTACCCAACTGAGATATATGCAATATTCTTGACAAGAGTGTATTACACACTAAATCCAATCACGTAATAATTTAAATAAATTCACATGTGTTACTACAACAAAATTAATTAACAGATACAATGTCAATGTCATCAAAGACCAAAAAGTGGTGACAAATGAGTTAGTCAAATGCTATGGGTGAGATTTGATTATATTCTAGAGCAAATATTAAACAAAATCAAAAGAAAAGCATAATAAAAATAATACAGAAATCTGAATATGAACTATATGTTATATGTTATTTTTTTCAATGCTAAATTTCTTAGGTATGATACTCATGTGGTCATGTAGAGAATTTACTTGTTCTTAAGAGATTCAACTGCTTAAGTGTATGGGGAATGAAGAGATGAGCTCTGGTAGCGTAGAGGTTACGAATTGGGCTGCTACCCTCAAGGTCAGCAGTTTGAAACTACCAGCCAATCTGTGAAGAAGGATGAGGCTTGCTGCGCTGATAAAGATTTATAGCCTCGGAAACCCCATGCAGAGTTGCTTGAGTTGGAACCTACTCCACGTCATACCACCACCACTTCGCAAAAAGGAGCCTTGTGGATTCCGAACCGTAAGATCAGTAGCACTCCACGGGAGACAGATGAGGCTTTACAGCCTCAGAAACCCTATACAGGATCCTTATGAGTCAAAATCGATTAGATGACACAACCACCACCGCCACCTCTACTACTTCCAAAAAGAGGGGAGTCAGACAATAAAAAGATCAAAAGGGCAGTCTAAATTCAGAAGGGTTGGGAAAGAAGGTGTCATAGGAACAAGAATCACAGGGAGGAAGTAGGATAGTTAATGTTACATGGTTGTGTGCTTTCGAGTTGGTTCCAACTCATAGTGATCCTGTGTAGGGTTTCCGGGGCTGAACATTTTTACGGGAGCAGAAAGCCTCATCTTTCTCCCATGAAACAGCTGGTAGTTTTGAACTGCTGACCTTGAGGTTAGCAGCCCGACTTGTAACCACTCCACTACTAGAGCTCCTTGTGTGGGGCTTCTGAAGCTTTAAATCTTTACTGTAACACAAAGCCTTGTCTTTCTCCCAAGGAGAGGCTGGTAGAATTGAATTGCTGACCTTGCCAGTTACACTACCTGTTCTAAGAGCTTTCAGTCTTTATTTAAGCTCTTAGAACTTGTTTAATAATTGAAAAGTACTTGGAGAAGTGTTGTATCCTGTAAGAATTGAAATCATTTGGCAAAATATTTTGTTTTCATGATTAGTGTAGGGTTTCTGAAGAGCAGCTGGTGAGTTTGAACCGTCGGCCTTGTAGTTCAAACTGACCTTGTGCATTTTCCCACAGTGAGCGCCACAGTAGGGCTCCAATCTTTTAAGCATATGGTTCACTGAATTTTAGTGTATCACAAACTTCAATACATTTAAAAAAATTGTAACATAAATACATACCCAAGCCAAGTTCATAGTGACTGTCTTTATTGTTGTTAAGTGCTGTCCAGTTGGTTCCAACTCCTAGTGACCCTGGAGAGAGGTTTCAAAGAAGAAGGGTTTGATCTTCCAACCTTGCAGTTAGCAGTCCAGTGCTTATCCTGCAGTGCCATACCGGGAATGAAAGAGTAAAACTTCCTAGAGTTTCCAAAGCTGTAAATCTTTACAGAAGCAGAGTGCCACATTTTTCTTCCATGGAGCAGCTGGTAGTGTATTTAAACTGCCAACCTTTAAGTTTTTAGCTAAGTGTTTAACTACTGTGTCACCAGGGTTCCTTAAATATAACTTAAACCAAAAAAAGCTCAGTGCCGTTGAGTTGATTTGGTTTCTGAGACTGTAAATATGGACTGGAGCAGGTAGCCTCATCTTTACCTACAGAACAGCTGGTAGCATCTAGTGAGTTTAAGCTGCTGACCTGGTGGTACAGTGTTTATCCTACAGTGCCATACAAGGTCTCCACTTTGTTGTTGTTAAGTTCCTTGGAGTCGGTTCTGACCCATAGTTACCCTGTATAGGGTTTCTGAGGAGCAGTTTGTAAATTTGAATCATTGATCTTGAGGTTCAAAGCGACTTTACAGCCCAGCACATTGACCCACAGAGCCACACCAGGACTCTGTATATAAAAGATGTGTTTACAGATTTGGACAGAAATGGATAAAAGTGCAATAGTATTAGTAGTATTGAGGATATAGATGTTTAAGATTTTCATATGAATTGTTTTGTAAATAATTTCTAATGCCGATTAGAAATTAATTTGTTTAAATTTGGAAACATATTTCATTGCATTGTGAAAAAATGTTTCGCATTAAAATTTTAAGCTTTGAGTTGCTAATATGAAAATTCAGATTTTGAATGTAATTATTTTGGTATGAGATGGTGATTCAGTTACATTTTGGTTTTTGATCACTAAGAATTTATATAAACATTCATTGTAAACATTAAAAATTCCTGTAATTTGTCAGCTTTTTGTTGTTACCAGATGCTAAGTATCCAGAATTATTTCAAGTTTTGACCAATAACTGAATCTTAGAGTTCATGAAAATTTTTACAGGAGTCTTTTTTGCATTTTTAGTAAATTTTCCATTTAAGCCCAACAGGCACACAGAAAAGTTCACAGCTTGATGGCTTTTTGCAAAGTGCACATTCCCATGTAGCCAGTACTCACATCAAGGTTAGCTGAACCCTAGAAACTCATATGTATTCCCTTCAAGTCAGTTACTCACAAGGGATAATCCTTTTCTTCTTTATAACACTACAGTTTTCCTGTGTTATTTCTTTTTTTGTTAGCTTCTTCATTTCTCTGGGTTTTAAAAGGACTAAGGAAGTTAAAATCTTTCAACTCTTTATTTAAATTTAATTAATTCAAAAATAATTAAAACCAGTAATTTATAAAAACTAGAGGAAAAGAAATACACCACCTATGACCCACCACCCTATCAAAACATCTTGTGGTTGTTAAGTGCCGTCGAGTCGGTTCTGACCCATAGCGACCCTGTAAAGGGTTTCCGAGGCTGTAAATCTTTACAGGAGCAGAATGCCTCATCTTCCT